GTTTTCACTTTCTGCATTGATTTTGAAAATTGTCATTTACTCCCAAGACAGACTGTTCTGATCATAGTAACTGTCTTAAATTTAATACTTTCAGTTGTTTCTGTTTCCAGAAAAGTTATTTCAAATGGGTAGAATAGTATATTTCTGTTATATCTCTTGAACACAGAAACTATTGATGACATGCTGGTGACAAAGCAGTGGTGCAGAATACTTGTGTGAGAGATTTCTTCAGTGTTTGTTTTTAACATAAGCCACCCCATGGCCCTGACAGTGCATTAATGGCACTATACATTTTCTTAAATTGATCAATAAATAATACATTCCTTACTGTCAACTTGTCCTTGGAGCACAAATGAATGTATTCCACAAAATTTCCAAGATACTTTGTTTGTTTGTTTTCCTTTTTCTGCACATTTCCAGTCTTTGCTTAATTCCCATCTTGGTTTCTAGCAACAGATATATCTTTGCTAGAATGGAAAACTTATAAGGATACTCCATCTAGGAATTTGGCTAAGCCTTCCACCTCCTTCAGAATGGTAATTTCAAATATATAATTAGATCCTCACAAGTATTAGTAGTTGTCGTATTAGATTTCTGTCCAGCTTTTATGACTTTATAAGTCACTCAAAGTGGTGAACATACCTAATATGCTTTCCTTCTCCTATTTTCCCCACAATAACAACATCGTTGTTCACTCCTAAGGGAATTCCAGAACTCCTAATATCTTGGTTTCTAGGCCAGCGCCTTAGCTCTACACAAAATGCTCTCCAACAAAGGAGATTTATAAGGCTTCTGTAAGCATCAGCACATATGTTCTTTCAAGTTTATAAGAAAGACAAATATGCTTCAGGATAGGCAGCTTTAGGCAGGTGCATCCTCAAGAAAATAGTTACAATGACCTTATCGGATACTGCTTTGTTTTCCAAAATAGACACTTTGAAATTCAGGCCTTCTGCCTGTGCCATAAATAAAGAAGCCGTGTTTAGCATTACAGCATTATCTCACATTTCCTTGTGCTCTTCCCTTTGTCTTAGCTTCTACCAGTGAGATTTTTATAGTTAATGTCATAATCAGCTGCACAATCATTTCAAGAATTTCAACTGAGAAATAATCTGTTCTTCACATCCAGTTCAAAATTCAAGAATGAACCATGTTTGGATAGTTCTAAAGGGGTGCAGACTGGATAATTTCTAAGAGCACAATAATGAATTTTCCATTTTTCCTTATAAGACAAAGTAGTTTTATAGAATACAGTAATAATAGAATCCATGTGAGTTTTATATAAATAAAGTAGGTAGTCTGGTATACTTAATTATTACTTAAGTTTTTAGATTTATGTAAATTTCTGATATTAAGCATGTAGGCAAAGATATATTATCTCCTCTGTTAGAGAAGACCACAAGCCTTTTTCAAAATGGTGCCTGTCAGCTTCTGACGACCATTGTGTAGAATAGAAGACTGATGAGTAGGCCAGTCTAGAGCTTGAGAGAAGGGAGATCATCTACAAGGGCTTCAAATGGCAACTCCTCGCAAGAAGACCTTAAAAAAGTGGTCTCCCATGGGACTCAGCAACCAGGAGTCCAGGGAGACAACATCTTCACTCTCAGGAGTGCTGGAGCCTTTAATAAAGACACTCAGCCAGCCACATCATTTTGTAATCACATTAGGAGATGTTGAATATAACCACTGTAGGGATATTAGACACCTCAAAATGGTGACTTTTTAGAGAACTTCAGCAATGTAGCCATCATGACTGATTCTCAGAGACTGCCTGAACAAATCCCTGCAGTTTTCTTGTCAAGGTTTTTCAGAAATTGCCAAACTAAAGCCCTAACATAGGGCACTACATGGGGCCACCCTTGAAAAAGAACTAGAAGCTTCAGCTATTATAGAATGCAGACAATTTTGTGTTTGCATGGGTGCCAATTTGTGCTGGCTGGTTATGACCTTTAAAGCCCTACATGGCAGGGGGCCAGGCTACATACACAACCATCTTCATCCCATTTCATCAGCCTGTTTCACCCAATCAGTCAGGGAAGGTATGTTCCAGACCTTGACAGTTGAAGAATCTAACCGAACAGAGCCTTCTCTGCCATTGTCCACTCTCTGTGGAACATACTCCCCACCAGAGGTGAGGCAGGACTCCACTCTCCTGACTTTCTAGAAAGGAGTGAAAACATGGCTTTGCAACCTTGCTTGGGAAGGTTGACTGAGTCTAGAGTTTTGTTATCCTCAACCATATCCTTACTCCCCATTCAGCTTGGAACTGTCCAGTCTGTTAATTTGGGCCTTTCTCTGGTAAGATTTATTGACTCCTCCTAGGAAATGTGTGCATTGCCAAAATTCTTACCCACTGATTTTCCATGTGCACATTCTATTTAAGCCACCCAGCTAGCTTTGTGCCTAAGAGAGGACTAGAATTCAGAATCTCTCAGTTGCTAACCTGGTGTTTTAACCACTTCACCAAACTGGCTCTCTTTTAGCATTTTATCAGATTTTTGGAGGGTGTTTTTGTTTTATTTTTGCCCTTTCCTAGGGCACTGTATCTATTAGCAATATTACTAGCGAAGTTGAATATATGACAGGAAAATGGATTTACTGGAACATCCTAACCTTCTGTTCTTATTCTGATTGTGTAATGAATGTTATTAAGACCATGAAAGAAGATCGATGGTCTGATTACAATTTACACTTGACATAGTAACATAAGCAGCATATTTGAGCCATCTCTTTCCTTGCCTTTTGCAATATTCTGCCACTGAGATATCCGTTGTGTTCTAGCATTCAGCAGTGGGGCAACATACTGATCTGTCAACTGCTACTAAGGAATTGCTCTGTTTCCTCCATAGCTCACACTGAGCTTGGCTCTGTTTCACTTGACGTGAAGGACTGAAGAAAGCTTTTAGCATTTCTTCTATAAATAGAACATAAAGATTAATTTTCCTGCTGCCTTATAAAATGGAAGTTGTTCTACTCTAAAATAATTTGCGCTAAAACATATGCATAAAGAATTCTACATGTGGAGGGCTTATCTAAATACAGGTCATAAAAATAATCCATCAAGCAGTTGTCCATGCTGGTACTATTATAGCCTGGCACCACAAGGCTATACCACTCAGACATGAGGGCAAAGTAATTATTTTCTTTGTAATCATTGTGCCCTTGAACCTGGTATTGTTTACTAAGGGTACCTGTTGACATCATTGGGTGTGTAGTGGAATGTGCCATTGAGTTAAGAGTAATAACCTACTTCCTCTATTTCTAGGCTGTAAATTAATAATTTTCTAATGATTTTGTGGTCAGTTTATGATTTCTATGTGAGAGGTGATAAACAGTGCAATAATAAGAGTTTCAGACAGTTTGTCATGACTTGAAGAATAATAACCCCTTCATTTTCTGATGAGACGAACTATGCCTTACATCTGTTTAGTTTGTTATGCCTATATATTAATGGTGTGATAGAAAGTCTATAGTACTATAGTAAATTTTCAGCATTGTGAGCTTTTACTTTTTGAGCAATTTGAATGGAGGAACAGACATGGGGGTTGCGGCACACATATAAATTGCTCAAAATACAATCCAACAAGACTACTGTACTTTGGCTTTTGTAGTTACTTAATGCAATTATTTAATTATTAAATAATTTGTTTACTGAGCAGAACTTTGTTTATTGGGCAAAATCATGCCAACTGTAAGCAATTGGTGTTGGGCTACTAATTTATAACTTGATAGGTTATCATCTGAATGCTAAAGCGGAATAGCTAATCTGTTTGGTGTAGTTATCAAAGCCAGCAAGTTGGAAACTGGGAGACTTATTAAGCCTGAACCAGTCAAGACTGATTTGAAGGCAAGAAATGAAGAAAGAAAGGAATGGAATGGAATAAATACCCAATGTAGAATTTTTCAAGTTAAATTAATGACAAAACAATTGCCTGAAGCTTTTCTCATAATTTTAGACAATAAATTTGTCATAAATGTAATTCCTAAAAAGCAGAAACTTCATGATTTCTTAGGTTCATTTCAAACCTATTCTTAGCCATAGAAATTCACAGTGACTTTATGTGAGTTACTGTCTCTTAGATTAAGCTACTCCATAGGGCTGGGTATAAAATGAAGAGTGATCCTCATGAAAACTGTCTTGCTCTCTTGGAAGAAGTCCTGATATAAATCTAACAAAATCTATATATAAATAACATCAGATAGGACATAAAATTTCTTCACTGCAGAGGAGTGGATTAGCCATGATAAATGCAAGAGGAAAATATTATTTCTTTCTGGGTGCACAATATTACAATCATAGATCTTATTATATTTGAGCCAGATCTCTTTCAGACTCTCTGTTCCTTGCAATATTGCCAAAGAGTTTGAACTTTGCTCTAATATAAACAGGGGTGGGATACGACAGGGTTAACTACCGGTTCGGGATTTACGAGCTTTCCTGCCAGCTCTGAGCCGCAGGTCTGTTAATTGTCATTAGCACGCTGTGTGCTGAGAAGCAGTCTTTGAAACAGCCCCCATTTCTTGTTTTTTTAACTGCAGCTGCGCCTCATTCGGCAGCTGAAGTTGAAAAATCAGGAAATAAAGATCAGGCAAGAGCCCAGGTAGGTAGGTGGGCAAAAACATCAGCAGACATAGAACCGGTTCTACATCTGCTGTTCTTCAGAGCTACCCGGTTCTACAGAGGTGGACAGAACCGATAGAAACACACCCCTGAATACATATTACTGTTCTCTATTCTTTAGTAGAACACATGGCTGCAAGCTTCTTTCTGATATGATATGAAAATTGTAATAAGTGTAACAATTTGTACATGGATATCAGTCCTTTAAAATATTGTTCTAGACAATATGAGCAGCTGTCTATAATAAACATAGGTATATTGTGTATCACCTTTTTTAGTTCATCATTGTAAGTTTATTTTGCACACAGATTCAAACTATAAATTTAACTCTGGTTTCAAGAACATAACATTAATGTGTGTATCTTTTTTTTAATTCTAGGATCTTCTAGAAATGGAGATTGGGATTCTGGCTATGTGACTGCAGCGTTGGGGAACACATGGAGTCATTGTGTCAACACAAGGCTGATTTTACAGTATTTGGACTCAAAGACAAGACAGGTGAGGAAACAAAAGAGGAATATTATTTCTACAGTCACATCTCATAAACAATATGGTCAAGTTGGCCTGTTTTGCTGAAAGAAGGTACTCTAGTTTGTAATTCACATTTGAAAGTGGAAGCAGGGAGGTTCCCAAATCAAAAATTCTTGCCTATTATGTCTACTTTCTTCCCTCCTGAAGTGAAATTGTTGCTGTAACATTAACTTCATAACTTCCATAAATGACTTAGATGAGGGAATAGAAGGGAAATCAAATTTGTGGATGATACTAAGCTGGCAGGAATAGATGATAGACTCAAGATCCAGATCTTGACAGACTTGAACACTAGGCTCTATTTAACAAAATGAAATTCAATGTAGAGAAAAGTAAAGACTTGCACTTAGGCAAGTAAAAAAACCAAAGGACATATATAGACTGGATGAAACCAGGCTTAATAGCAGTAACTGTGAGAAAGATCTTGGAGTCTTAGTGGACAACCAATTAAATATGAGCCAACAGTGTATGGCAGCAGCCCAAGAAAACCCAGTGCAATCCTAAGTTGCATTAACAGAGGGATTCAGTCAAGATCAAGGGAGGTACTAATACCACTCTAGAAAGCCTTAGTAAGACCACATCTAGAATACTGCTAGAATACAGAATACAGTTTTGGTCACCACACTATGAAAAAGATGTTGAGGCTCTAGAAAGAGTGCAAAAAAGAGCAACAAAGATGATTACGGGACTGAAGGCTAAAACATATGAGGTTACAGGAATTGAGCATGGCTAGTCTAGTAAAGAGAAGGACCAGGGGAGACATGACAGCAGTGTTCCAATATTTGAGGGGCTGCCACAGAGAGGAGGGGGTCAATGTGTTTTCCAAAGCACCTGAAGGCCAGACAAGGAATAATGGGTGGAAACCAATAATGGGAGAGATTCAACCTAGAAATAAGGAGAAATTTTCTGACCACGAGAGCAATCAACCAATGGAACAACTTGCCTTCAGAAGTTATGGGAGATTCATCATTGGAGGCTTTCAAGAAGAAATAGTGTAGGGTCTCCTGCTTGGGGGTGGCGGGGGTTGGACCAGATAATCTGCAAGTTCCCTTCCAACTATGTTAATCTGTCAGTTAAAATTTCAGAGCTAAGTATTAGGCAAAATATCTTGGGTTAAAGTAAAACATATATGTCCTAAGTACTGAAGAGGAAAAAGAGTAGAGAAAAACTATAGCCCCCTATATTTATGCCCCATCCTGTGGTTGTGCAGTTCCTCACTTTTTACAAGTCAAGATATCGAGGGAGACCACCAATGTGATTAAATGCTGATTTCTAGGGTTCTAAGCTGGACAGGGTGTTGACAGATGCAGAAACGACTGGGAGAAGTCACAAAATCTAAACATGCTGCATTCATGTTGCCTTTTCATTCAAATAATACAAAAATCAGAAAATTGTCGCTTATTGTCCCATACGTTACAACCTAGCAATTTTCTGCTCTAGGTAAATATTGAGCCCTTTTAAAGCAAGCAACAAATTCCCTGGTGTACTAATGGCAGACATAACTTTCCGGTGCCCTTGGTTACAAACCAGCTGTTTTTGCTCTTGTTTGATCACTGCTGTATAAATAGCATTCCAGCACTTGTGTCATAAAACTATAATTTTGAATAGTAGTAACTGGAGAATATGTTATATTAAATATTAAAAGGAAGAATGTATAATTATGCATCTGAGTCTTTTAAATTCTGAAAGACCTAATGTTAAAGAAAATGCTATACTCACTGGGGTTTCAACGGTTTACTCCATTTATGTTATTCATTTATGTGAAGCCAAAATCTGGGGTGAAATAAATGCAAAATTATTTTAGAATAAACTAATCCGAACTGATAAGACTGGCAGAGAAGACAGAAGAAGTCAGTGTAATGTTTACCAAAAGGCATGATGTTTCTATCTTTCAATTTTTATAATTTAATTTTTATTAAAATAAACATATGTTTACTAGTATATAAATTATTTATTAGTATGCAGTAGAATTTACCAATTACTTTTAATGAACATGCGTTCTTGCACCGAATTATAGAGCAAAGGCTAGTTGTAATTGGCAGTTGAAGCCGAATAATAATGATGTATGTAAATAATTATATAAAAATATTTTAAAAATTGAAATATTGTTTTAAAGATTTGCTTGGAATTGTGAAAAGCACTTAGAATGTTGCTGAAAGGTGCTTTGAATAAGACTGGGATGTATTAAAAGTCTTTAGAACCTATAAATAAGAAAATGTTACTTTATAAACACTAATATAGGGTATGCAGAAAATGAGTTTTAGAAAGGAAAAGAATCCTGCATTAAGTTTTGGTTATGCCGAGTACAGTCTGGATAGTAGTAACAAATTTGTGAGCATTTGCTAGAAAACATTTGGATCAGGTGTATAAAACTGAGATAATGCCAGGCTAGCTAATGATTCCTAATTTTTTTTTAACACTATGTTTCCAGGTTGCATTCAGGAGTCTCCATTGGATTCTAAGTGTATACCCCACATGCTCTAAAGCTGGGGTCTCCAACCTTGGCAACGTTAAGACTCACGAACTTCAATTCCCAGAGTTCTGGGAATTGAAGTTCACAAGTCTTAACGTTGCCACGGTTGGAGATCCCTGCTCTAAAGTACCTTTATTGAACTAAACGTCAAGCATTGCATAAATGAAACAATTAGAGCCAGTTTGGTCTAGTGGTTGAGGCATCAGGTTACAAACCAAGAGACTGTGAGTGCTAGTATCATCTTAACCATGAAAGCCAGCTGGGTGATCCTGGGCCACTTCACTTTCTCCCAGCCCAATTCACTTCATGGGGTTGTTGTTGTGGAGAAAATAAGAGGAGGAAAGTATGTTCGATATGTTTGCCATATTGAGTTATTTGGAGAAAATAATAAAGGCAGGATATAAATAAATAAAAACAAATACTGAGCTCAGTATTGTTGAAAAACGTTACTGATAATCCAAATCTGCTACTTTTCAAAAATGCAAGTTTCTTCCACATGGACAAGGTAATAATGAAAAAGCAGCTGTACGTGGTTTTCAATACATGGTATCTATTGTTCAAATTTCCAACACAGAAAATGCCATAACATGCTTAGATATTTCAGATACAATCCTATGTATTAGCATTCCATATGGATTCTAAAACAAATCTCATAATGCTCAGATAATGACTGTAGCTATTGCCAGTTGGAGATGATAGTAGTTTTTGGCCTACAGAAAAGAAAATCCCACTGAGTTTGATCAGTTTTTCTGGATTGTACATGCGTAAAAATTATAGCAGCTTCATCTGTGACACTAGATCTGTTTGTTTAATTATTTTGTATTTTGATCAACTCAATTGGCATATAGTTTAGTGGACTGAGTGCAACAGGCAATGACCACAAAAACCCAGTTCACCATTTAACGGATGTTTGGGTCTACTTCAGATCATTATCTTTCCATCAAAATCAAGGTTTCCTAAATTTGAAATTACTATTTGAATAAAAATGAAGAAGGTAGTGTTAATGAATTCATACAGTACTGTATTTCAAGTTATTCACAACACATGTGGTGTTTTAATATGGTCAAGTAAAATTAGATCAGTACATAATACAGATGGACATTTCCCTCAATGTCTCTTTGTAAATCATTGTTTTCCCCAATGGAGTTGATTTATTGGGAAAAGTTATATCTTTGTTATGTGTGGATCATTAACTCTTACAAGCAAAACTCTTATTAAAAAGATAAATATTTCCTTGCTTATCAGCTATCTCTATGCTTACACTATTTTAATTTGAATTCTTTTCCTTTCATTACTAGCCAATACCATACCAGTAGATCTGCTTAATGTTTTGATTTTCCTGTAGCTGTAGGAGAGAATGAAGGATTAAGACTATAACAGGGCATCCATTTTGATGTAGAGCTTTATCAGTGATGGATCCCACCCTGTAGAAGACTATGTTCCTAAAGATTTGTCAGGTCTTACAATTTGGAGATCGACAATGAATTGATGAATTCCTCCTGCCTCTGGAAATGAGAATTAAATTTGTGTGTCATTCAGTATTGATAGTAGTGCAATTCAGATGTTTGGAAGGTTTATAAAGAGGTTTATGTAGTTATAAAAGAACCTGGGGAACAGAAAGAACTCATGTGTAGGTCAAAGACTAAGAGAAAGACATGACCTCAGCCTTATTGACACAGTACATTCTAGAAAACATCAAAGCAAGAACACATTTTTATTTCCATAGCCCATCCTGGCAAGGTAGCTAAAAAAAGTCTGTTCGTTAAAAACTGCAGAAAGGTATAAGAGAGTCAGTGGCATTGTATACATTCCTGGTAATTGACCAACATACTTTCTAAGGTTATTTTCACTTTCTAAATAACTCTGAGTCTAGACTAGAACGGAAATAGATAATCAATTTAACCTGACAGTTATCCTTTCTATCTATTGCCTTGCATAGAAAGGAGTCACCTAATTATTGTCCACAATGTTTGAGTACAATATTGTTTTCCATTAATGATCTCCCAGTAGGGACTATTCTTTACCTCAGGAAATACTAGGTAGTCTATTCTACTGCTTTTGATCTTGATTGGGTTAAAATACCTTCAGCTATAATTTCTTGTTAAAAGGACTATACTGTTAAAAAGAAGGAGTTATGTATTTCTTTAGAATTTGGCTTGGTAGAGTGTTTTGCTTCTTCATCAGTATTTACGGTCACTGTCTGACATAAATATACATCAACAAATGAAAAACTCCCCCACTTTCCCACCCCCAATTTTGTTCTATGCTGAGGGGAATACTTGGCCTGGATTCCTTTACTTATCTTTGCCTTTTAATGTATTCCATTCAGGCTCAGAAATGTGTGTTTTTCATATTGCTGAGTTAATTTTTTTGTAATCATACAGAATGAGGGTTATGACTGAATTTTGGAAAACATCTTGTTCTATGCTAAAATCATTTGGCAGGCAGTCCTGTGGGTAAAAATATTTGTACTGTGGTCTAGTGCTTGGATAGT